ACACACAAACACTTGTGTGTACAGCCTGCCAATGAAGAACCTGGATGTTTCTCATGCTGGGATCTACTACTGTGCTGTTGCCTCATGTGGATCCATGCTTTTTGGAAATGGGATCAAGCTGGATTTTGGGTGTGAGTAGAAGCTTAGCAAACGTTTTTTCTACTGATAAATAGTTCTGTTTACTTTACAATTAAAATGTTATTACAAATTGGAAAAGCTGCTAACATAATATCTTATTGTCATATTTGTTACTGCAGCTCAGGAGACTTTTCTTCTCTCTGTGTATTTCTTAATTGCTGCCTTGGGATTCACCACAATCCTGATCTTTATACTGGCTTTCTTAATTTATGGTATAAGCAGACGGCAGTGTACAGGTAAATGTTGCTGTTCATATATTGTTTATATAAAATTACCATCCAGTATGGTTGAAATATGATTTGTGTGTCTGTGTGTGTGTGTTTGTTTCAGGATCTAATGCAAGATTTTCAGCTTCCTCTTTCTCAAACACAGAGGTAGAATAATACAATTCTAAATCATTTTGTTATTATGACAAATATCTGTCATTTTTAACATTTTATACCATGTTCCATATTGTGATTTGTGGATTTATTTCATTATCAGAATTGTGAACCTGAAGAAACCCTTCATTATGCTGCTTTGAGGGTAAAAAAGACCAGCAGATCTACAAGAAAAAGAGAGAATCCAGAGGATAAATGTCTATATTCTAGTATCAAATAATAAGACTTTACATGTTTACTTCTGTGTAATAGGGCTTAAGCTTAGCAGTATCATATGTAATTTTGTCTTAAATATGAGTAGTTTAAAAGTACATTGGTTGCTGTATTTCTCTTCTTTTTCTCATTTACTGCTAATATAAATTATTCTTTCAACTGAAAAGTTGATTATAACATCGCAGTATTTGTTGAATGTCCGAACATTAAATGCTTGTTTTTTTTTATTCACAGAGTCTATATTTCCTAATTGGCTGAAAAATTATTGACATACTAAAACGGTATCATTTTAATATGAAATTTGTTATGTCAATATCCAGTATTTGCTACATACATAAATATATGTAACAAAAAATCTTGAGCAAGATACTAACGCCAAGTTGCTCCCCAATGCATTCACTGAAGTATGAATGTGTGTGAATGTTAAATAGAAAGCATTTACATTGTGTAAATGTGTGAATAAGGCAAGTTGTGTAAAGTGCTTTGAGTGTTCAGTTAGAGTTGTATCAAGTTGTACAGAATATCATAATAACATAGGGCAAAGACAAACAGTTTCTATTAAAGTGTCGATCTGAGCAACCAACATTTCTAAGTTAAGTTGTTAATTTCCACAGGTTTTATACTTATTTACAATAATAATGATAACATTTGTATAAGTATGAGTATAATAATATTTGACAAAAAAAGTACTTAAGTATTTGGAGGTTTTTTTAGTTTTATCACTGATTTTGATCATTCTATTATAGATCGTAAAATTAAAATTAGAATAGAATAAATAAACGGTATACCAACACCACAGCTAACACATCTGAGGATGTTATTTTTACAGAAGAACATTATGAAAAGTTCAAAATTGATTTAGAATAATGTGTGGAATTTGTTCCACAATAAATGTTCTGTTTTTATACCATCTTTATTTTATTTGCAACTATCTGAATGGCTTTATTTTAAAACTGACCTCACAGCTGGTTTTAAAATGTTAAATGATTATTATAAAACTACGACAGTCAGGTTTTATCGTCTCATCCACATCTGCCTGACTATTAACCCGGCAGCTTCTCCTCTGCAATGCGCGCTGTTCTGCCTCAGTCGACAGCTTCACCTCCTCAGCTCTTCTGCTCAGGCCTGAAACTGTCAAATTTTGATCATTCTGCTCTGGATTACCAAGTCCGGCGTCGTAATTAATATGCGATGGGAACACTACCACAAAGGTAACCGTTGAGGCAACAATATAAATGCTGCTCAGTCTGTGGCTTTTAGTCAGACTCTTGGAAACCCCGGGCGAGCATGTACTTAAAAAGTACCTGGTACACAGCAAATCCAGCATACCCAAATTAACACTGTCAGATTTGATTTCAACACTATTAAAGTTTCTATATGGGCCCACACCAAAGAGTGTGAAGTTAACTCTTTTTTTGTAGAGTTGGTATCTTAACTCAGATTTAGTGTTAAATACCAAATCTGTCTGGAGTTGATAATTTAACACTTATTAATGCTAACTAGGAGTTAAGAGTTTAGATATTAAGTTTCACAGAGTATTTTATTTTAACTAAATAAGAATTATCTTCTAAATAATTCTAAAAGGTTTAAATTTTACTCTTCTGAACTTTCAGAAATTCCTTGGGAAATACACATTTATTAAAAAGAGCCAATGTTTTTCTGAAAAACACTTATTTTGAACTGTGAACCGTTTTCTAAAACATGGACCAGTGTACATGCTCTCATTGGAATATTGTTTATCAAAGGGTCTGACATAGGTGCGCTGGTCAATGCAAATAACAGCATGTTCATTACTCTTTTCTTCAATACAATATGCATGTCCTCCATTCATCACTTTCTGGAACTTTAACGTACTTCTGCTCGCCCCCATATTCCATCTTCGTAAGCATATCCTGTGTGGAGAGAGTTAAAAAAAAGGCAAAAAAAACCCTGTTTGGTCAGTTTTTGTGGGACATTTTCAGGCTTCGAGTTGCGCCATAGTTTTATGACAACATTTCACGATCTCAACATAGTTTTAGGTGTATTTGACTGAATATTCATATATAAGCATTTTTTATGCTATTGTATTTGCCCCCAAACAATACATTTCAGCTAGCTAAAACAGGCTATTATGCTATCACCGAGCAACGTGGCTATACCTTTCACACAGCTTTGTCTCACAGCCTGCCCACCATCACCACGAATATAGGGTGATGGTGTCCTGACGCAGCAAGGCACAGAAACTTTAAGGTGTGAGGTTAACCTAGAGGAAAACATGTCTATAAATTCTGGTGTGTTTGTGTTATTTTAATGCTCTTATCATTACAGGGAGAAGCCTGCTGCAGAAGGCAAAGTATGAGTTAGGCACAGGAAGAAAGACCAATAGGGAGGCCGAGTTTAAACCACGGCTCCTCCCCACCTTTTTTAAACTAATCCCAGGTGGTCAAAATAACCAACTATTTTATGTGAGTCAAAGAATAGAAGATAGATAGAGTTGAGTTTTAAATTAGTAATGACAGGACCACTTTAATGTTAGTGCCACACAGTGTCACATCTGAAACAAAGCAAACCAGACGAGCGTAGTTTTCTTTCTCTAAATGGAAACTGAAGCAAATCTTCAAAGAAAGCACGACCCATTTTACGTCCACAACGTTGCACAACCAAGGATGTCTGTGGTTTTTCATTTTTCAAGCGCTAAACATGACAGCGATGAGCATGTTTCCTTTACGGGACATTACACATATTCTGTGGTTGGCCGGTCACATGAAATTTTCTCTTTGAAGAGCAGAAAAATTATTTTACCATAATGATACATTTAATATTTGTAGTTTATCTGATACGTGTGTGCGTAGGAATAATAGGTGAGTTCTAATTTTGCTGTTTTGAGATGTCATTTCTCAATTATGTTACAGATGTCCACTGCACTAAATATATATGCAATGAAAGAAATGTGTGTGCGTTGTTTTGTATCTTGTTTCAGCTCAGCCAGCTGAACTGCACTCATCTCTTCACCAAGAGGCTGATTTTGTTTCTGCTGATGTTGGTGACGAAGTAACTCTGCACTGTTCTTACGAAGGTGAAGCTGCAAGACTTTACTGGTACAAACAAACTCTGGGACAAAAACCAAGGCTCATCTCTACCTACTACAGATATGAGGGAAATGGCATATTTTATAATGAATTCAAAAGTAATCCACGCTTTACGTTACTTACTGGCATCAGTAAAAATCATTTAAAAATAACAGACCTGCGTGTCTCAGATTCAGCTACTTACTACTGCGCAACAAGCTTTACTTTTATTTTAGAGTTTACCAAAGAAACATATCTCAATGTAAAAGGTTCCAGTTTGGACATCCAGACTTTTGTCCTACAATCGGTATCTGAGACCATCCAGCCAGGAGGCTCTGTGACTCTGAACTGTACAGTCCACACTGGGACCTGTGAGGAAGACCACAAGGTTTACTGGTTCAAAGACTCCGAAGAATCTCATCCAGGGCTCATATACACCCATGGAGGCAGGAATGATGAGTGCAAGAAGAAATCACAGGCACAAGCACACACCTGTGTGTACAGCCTGCCAATGAAGAACTTGAATGTCTCTCATGTTGGGTCCTACTACTGCGCTGTTGCTTTATGTGGACGCTTACTGTTTGGTAATGGGACCAAGCTGAATGTTGAGGGTAAGTAATTTTGGGAAAGGTTCTATTATCTGAATAAGCAACTCACTATTGTCAAAGAGTGTAAAGGCAGGCCAGTCCACCATGTAAATACATATTAGCTGCTTATCTTATTGACCTTTTGCTTTTTAAAGCATTTCCCACTTTGCCTCTCCAAAGCATGCAATGGAAGTTGCAGTAACTTGCACTAAGCTCCACTAACAGCGGAAAATAAAAATATTTTCTTTCCAGCCAACATAAAAATAATCATGGGAAAACCTTTAAACATATTGTTCAGACATTTACAGGTAAATACATATTCGGTGCCTATCTTAATGACCTTTTGCATTATAACTGAACTGATTAAGACACAAATAAGGCTAGGCAACACTGTTATAATACTGATATAAGGAGGGAGACAGCCTTTCTAACAGTACAGACAAATATGCTTATTATCCAGCACGCTTTAAAATGGTATATTTAAATGGTCGCATGTTATTAGGTAGAATTGTTTAACAATAAATAAATTTAAAAATGTCCACACAGCATTGTTAATCTCTGTCTGCTACTTGTAGCAGACATTGACCCATAATAAAAAAAATAGTGTCATCAGTATTAACAGACATGGTCGACATCTGTTTGTCTATGGCACAGTTTGTGTTGTATGAGGTGGGTGTATGAGTGGTTCAATCCCTGGCTGCTTCAGTCTACATGTAACACACTAACCCCAAATTGCTCTCTGATGCGTCAATGAGTGAGTGTGTTACAGAAATTCGAAAACACTTAAACATAGAAAAAACGTGCTTGTCTGTATGAGGCATGTTGTATAGAGTGCTCCTGGAGAGTACAAAAGTGCTCTATAAGAATCAGTCTATTTACTGGGCGATTGTGGCTCAAAAGTTGGGAGTTTGCCTTGTAATCGGAAGGTTTCCGGTTCGAGCCCCAGCTTGGACAGTCTCGGTCGTTGTGTCCTTGGGCAAGACACTTCACCCGTTGCCTACTGGTGGTGGTCAGAGGGCCCGGTGGCGCCAGTGTCCGGCAGCTTCGCCTCTGTCAGTGCGCCCCAGGGTGGCTGTGGCTACAATGTAGCTTGCCATCACCAGTGTGTGAATGGGTGGATGACTGGTTGTGTCTTTTGGGGTCCTTAGGGACTAGAAAAGCGCTATACAAATACAGGCCATTTAGCATTTTACCAACCAAGCCAGTTTTACTGATAAGACAATATCTGTGTTTTAACTTTATTTGTTGGGTTACTATCTCAGTAGATGAAGGGGACACTCTTCTCTTGTTGTATTTCTGGAGGGGGGTTTCAGCTTTCACCAGCATCCTGAGTGTTTTACTGGCTTCCATAATGTGCATGACGAGAAAGAAAAACAGCAGCACATACACAGGCAAGTGGTTTAGTATTTCTTATGTTTGTTTGTTTTTATCCTCCGGTGAATATGACATTATATTGACACAGTTTTCTGTTTTCCAGATTCTCCAGCAAAAAACTCCCTCTTTTTCAAAGCAAATGTAAGTGTATTTTCTTTCGAAAGAAAAAGCACAGTTTTACGTTCCATCCATGTTTGTTTGTTTTTTTTAATAAATGTGAAAGTGACTCAGCTGTTGTACTGTTTGTCATCCCCAGGATGACCAAGAAGGAGGCTACCTCTATTTCAAACCTTTGAGGGACATGAAGATGAACAGATCAGAAATGCAGATGGACAACACCTGGAGTAAATGTGTCTATTCTAGTGTAAAGCAGTAATGTGGATAGGCTTTTGGTCTCTGTGTATAAACACAGGACCTTGTGAGGTTCTCTTTGAAGCATGACTTCCCTTATAAAAGACATGTTACTATTTCATTCATTTCCTCACAACACAATTTAACATGGACAATAATGACATTTGTGTTTCAGACTATTAAAAGTGCCTGTTATGTACATAAAAGAATTATGTGTATTTGTATTTTAATATCATGATAATAATGATCACTTTTTTATTGCATCTTGAATTTTAGCCCCTCCCCCCTCTCAACCAAAATAATAAAAATATTTTGAATATTCTGACGTTTGTGTGTTGAGATCAGACGTGAGTATGAGTGGAGCGTGAATACAGTGGTTTGAAGTGCCCGCCCCCTTCCCTTCCACCGCTGTAAAAGACTCATTGCCCTCAAACGCTGCAGTTGTTGTTGTTGCTAAGCGTGGCCCAACCAGTTATTAGGCTTTACGGGGTGAACACTTTTTCACACAGGGCCATGTAGGTTTTTTCTTCTTAATAGTAAACACCTTCATTTGGAAACTCCCTTGTTTGTTTATATGTGTTATCTTTGTCTAATATTTAAATGTGTTTGATGATCTAAAACATTAAGTGTGACAAACATGCAAAAAAACAGGAAATCAGGAAGGGGACAAATGCTTTATCACACCACTGAATGCGTGTAGCCACAAACTACAGCTGTAGTAGTAATTAGCTCAGGAAGAATATTCAAAATATGCCTGGATTTGCTTTGTTTTTATGGATGACTGGCCTATTGACATCACAGCAAGTCCAGAATATGGGCAGTCATCTCCCTCTATGCACTTCTGCTGGAATTCTGAGATCCAATGATCTAAACTGTTAATGTTACAGGACTGCTGGGAACAGACCCAAAACACCTCCATACATCCCAGTTTAGACTTTGTCAAGTGCCCACTCGCCCCCACACGTTATCATTCTCGCTCTATTTCTCTCTTTTATCAAACACAATTCTGTTACATTTGAACAATGTAATCAATCATATCTGAATAAGCTCCATTCTTCACATTCACTTTAGCATGACCCCTTTCAATCTGAATACTTTTTCTCTCTCAAGATATTTTCTACATAGGTTTTCAGCACAGCCTGGATTAAACCTGTCTTTAAAGTCATATTTTTTTTCACAATATTAAAATTGTCAACTTAAACATAATTAATGTAACAGATTATTTTCTGATTAGTATTGAGCACAACTAACTGTCAGCACAATGACAATGAACCATCATTCAGTGTTTGACGTTTACAACATTTAACATTGTTTTTGTTGTTCAAAAGTGTAATGATGGGTTGGTGACACAGTCCTTATCTTCTCAGTCCAACACACAAAAGGTTGATTATGGCTCATGTCTACACACAAAACATTAGAACAGACATTTCCACAATTTAAACTGAATTTCTCTGCATACTGATCACTTACATTTTTTATTTGTCTTTGATTACAAATGAAGATGATGACCATACTAAAGGACAAAGCTCTGTTTTAGAACTCTGATGTTTATTAACACATTTTTAACACATAAGGCTGAATGTCAAGTCCTTTTACCCCCTCAGCTTTGATGGCAGGGGGCGGCCAGGGGGACCTCAATCTCTCTCTACGCCACGTTACTCGACAGAGCCAATCATGTTCTGCAGTGTGATGGTGATGAACCAATCAGACCTGTCAGATGTGGCAAAATGTAGGACAAGCTGGCGTTTTTAAATCT